ATATATTACGTTGTGAGAGAAACGCTCAGCAGCCATTAATCGTCAAGTTTGCCTGTTAATGTAACTGCCAGGTTGTGTTAGCAGCCAAATGTTACCATATCTGCCCAACTGCCCATAAAATTCAAGGAGAAATTAACTGGTTAATTCTCAATACTTGAGTTGGGAATGTCTCGTTTTTTCTCGTATCTCGATGGAACATCTCGTTGTGTCTCGTGTAATGGATTATCTCGTTTTGTCTGGAATCGATATGCATATCTCGCGTTCTATTTGAATCGATATTGCAAATCTCGTGTTTTATTTTGCTTTTTAAAATTCCGGGGAAGTTTAACTGTCACGATTAACCATTTGCCTAACATTTCTTCTTTATTCTTGTAATTTTTTTCCTCGTAATTTAGAAGGAAATATTTCGCATATAGGTTTATTGGAAACAGGCCTACGAGAGTCACGAATCACATGCTGAGGCATTCTAATCCTCTCAAATTTCTTTATTAGATTAAGTTTTAGTAAATAGTTCAGCCATTGCTATTCATTAATTCGCAATTAAAGCCGTATAGTAAAATTTATATTATAGAAATTATAAAGATTCCTCATTCAGTGTCAAAAGAAATGTTAAGTCGAAAAGTATACAAAGTATCTAATTTGACATTATTTGTAACGATATGTTTTGAAAACCCTATTGAATTCATATATTTTCACAGCATGTGAATTAATTAGAAAGATGTTGATTTAAATTAATAATAAATGGTGAAAACAGGCATTCACGTGACATCGGGTTGATTTCGGATGCTGTTTTGCCGATAAGTTATTAAAAACGAGAGTCGATTTGCAATTTTAGGTTCTTACCTTCCACATCTCACGTATCATTTTGTACAAGGCAAAGTTTGAATGCAATTTTCTAGCAGGGAAGCAAGAGAAATTACAAACTAGACTTGCAACCTCCAAAAGCAAACCACAATATTGTCTCGGCGCATAGCGTATTAAACGGAACCTTGAACTTTCAAGAACTTAATCGTCTTACACGGGGAAAAATTCGCTAAAATTTCAAGTTTTACCAATCTACCTTGAAATCGCAAAATAAGTTTGTGTCCTGGTGTATTTCTTCCAAATATCGTGTGCAGAGACCTCTCCCCATTATTTGGGGATTATATATTCAATATAAGAATCCCCATTATATTCAATTCCAATTATTCCTATAATAAACTTTATCCGAGGTCATCCATCGTGCCGGAACCTTCCTGCAGCATGAGCTGGAAGGCTGCTTCCGTTGGCCATATAGCGAGCAACATAACAAACAAGGTCAGCTAGTCGGCAGCGCGCCAAAAATATGTCAGAACACGATTGCGGTCCAAGTTTTATGGCAGAGAAATCGCATCCGCCGACATCTAGTCGATCGCTTGCTGCTATTGGTTCTGGGCAGCAAAGAAGTCCAAATGAGGGTCACATGTTATTGTAAAATGTCACTCTGATGAAATAAGTCACATTGTAATACATACGACTGATGTGAAATGTCACACTACTGTCAATGTAATGCTGTCACACTAATATCATTGTAATACATTTGACTGATGCAAAATGTCACACTGATGTCATTGTAAGAGCTCAATGCAGAAGGTGGATGAACACAGACCAGGAACGGACTTTGTACGTACTTGTCTTGCAAGAAATCGTTCAGTAGAAACGAATGATTCTAAATTATGATGTCAAGTATTTCATGAAAGGTTACGTAGATTGATATTTTCATTTCATAAATTTAACGTTCGTACCGTGTAAAAGGGCATAAAACTAAACACGATGGTCACTATTTAGAAAAAGCTTACTTAGAGATTCGTACTCTGCCACTCGGAACACGCAGACTCCGGCTAATCCAAATACAAGTACTATATTATTTTAAGATAAACAATGTTATGAACACGCAATATTCGAAATATGTGGGAATTAAACAACTTACCAACAAAAACTAAACATTTACGATCAACCTTTGGCTCAAGATTCATTTAACTATACCCTCTGGATCCACGATATTTTTATGAGGCGTGATAAATGCTTGAATGAACGGAATGAATTTAATAAATATTCTAGAAATCTCGGGCTTCTCTTCTTGAACAACTTTTTTGTCGAACCCGGGAAATAATAACCGCTCCGTTTGATAGGCTGCAGCAATTACAATGATAACACTTTAGGATACGGAGTAAGTAGTGATGTAGCTTCGGTATGAACTTTTCAGAATAGCGATTATTGTTATAGATTTATAGATACAGTATATAGAATAGACTTATAGTTTGGGCATCAAAGTGGAGTATTTCGTTGTATATTCTATTTTTATTGCCAATTTCATCGAACAGTAGGCTTTACTAAAAAAATATTCTCGTAAATTCAGTTGGTTAATTGTTGAGTGGCGCTGCATATCTAAGTGTGCATGCATGCTCTATATGTTTCTATTACTTTACAAGTCCTGGTAGAATAATTCGAATTTGCATGTTAAAATGTGTGTTCTGAGTAAGTATATTCTGTATAAATCTTACGTATTTTTCAAAGAAACAATTGATTGTAATTTTAGTTGAAAACTTTGTTTTCAGCATTTGTTCATCGTGGCGTTGCACTGCACATTTACCGCAGTGCTCATGGTCGCTCAGCTAAGGTAGTGTTTTTGTGATTTTAGTCGTTGGTCAACGTGTGTAATTTTTGCGGTTTCACCATTAGGCTGGGTCTACCAGCTGACATTTTCGTCCTTAGCATGAATACAAAGTTTTCCACTTATCTGCTCCATGCAAAGAATAACAGCGTCTGGGCGAAGACGAACACGTCCCGCGATGTATTTCTAATTTATACTATATGCTCGGTACGCTTGAACTCAAGGCTTTTAGCTGGCAGTTACTGCCTCTTTTATGGAACGAGTTGCGTTGTATGTGTTAGTAGTGTTCCATCTCGCTGCGTTTATAGCTGGAGCATCCGCCGCTCAATTTTCTATTATGAATTAAATTCAACCGGAATGTTTACTTACTTCCGCGTTGCTCAGTTCATGATGTGTTTATTAATACCACTAGTTAGCTTGTTATCAGACTAGATATCTACTCCCAGCGTACATGATAATGCAGGGAAAATTCTAAGCACAGATTCTCTAGTCCAGTGGTTCCCAAACTTTTTCAGACCGGCGCCCCCTTTGGCTCCCTAGTGAATTTCTATCGCCCCCCACAGACACATATAAAACATACGCCTCTTTCTTGAAATTTAGTACGCTGCAATTTCAAAATATAAAGGTTAAACACAAATGTGTATTTCACAAATAGAACCCCATTTAGTGAACCAATATGTTTTTAAGCTGTTTTAACTGTTTTAGCACTAGAAACCTAGGACGTCGCGGGCGAATTTGCGGCCTGACTCGTGGCCGGTCTCACGACCAATCGCCAAATTCAATTATCAAGTAATATCTCCCAAACTAATGAACGCAGCTCAATGAAACTTGGAACATGTATTCATCAAAACCTAACGGTGATTTTTGGCTCGTAAAAAATTTTAAATTTTACCTTCATTCGTGAGTTATATTGCGATAAAGGCCGAAATTCGCATTGATCAAATATTTTAAACGAAAATTTGAAATTGAACGAAATTTTGAATATACATTCCTAACTACCAAACGGTGATTTTTTAGCTTCAAAAAATTTTCGATTTTACCTTCGTTTGCGAGTTTTTTTTCATTTTACCGTCATTCTTGATTTCACACTTCCTTATATTCGGCCTGTATCGCCGGATAATTTGTCGCTTAAATTCGCGGCGATCAAGAAATTTCTTCTAAACTACTCAATAGATTTCAACGAAACTTTGAATATAAATACCTAACCTCCCAACGGTGACGTTTAGCTCGTGACAATTTTTGTTTTTGTTCTCAAGTTATCCAGATATAGGAGGAAAAACCGGCTTTTCTACCGGCCGGTTTAACTAAGAGCCGTTTACGAATATCCGTATACTTATAGCCGTATAACTCGCAAACGAAGGCAAAACGATAAATTTGTAGCGAGCTAAACATCACCGTAGCTGAGGTTAGGTATTTAAATAATAAGTTTCGTTCAAATCTATTCAGTAGTTTTGGAGGAAATTTCTTGATTACCTACTGCGAATTTAAGCACGTATTGCTGTTTAAATCACGAATGAAGGTGAAATGAAAAAAAAAAAAATCTCGCGAACAAAGGCACAATCGAATAAATTTTCACGAGCTAACATTACTGTTCGGTAGTTAGGACTGAAAATTCAAAATTTCGTTCGAATCTGTTCAATAGTTGGAAGAAATTCCTTGTGCACTGTGAATTTCGGCCCGGATTGCCATATAACTATGGCAAAAACAAATGGAGGCAAAATTAAAAAAAAAATTCATGAACTTTACTAAACATTACCGTTAGGTCCTAATGAATATGTGTACCAAGTTTCAACGAATTAAGTTCATTAGTTTGAGAGATATTCCTTGATCATTGAATTTGGAAATTGGCCGTGAGAATGACCGCGAGTCCGGCCCTTAATTTGTCCCAAACGTAAACCCAGGAGAGGTTAAAAAAGCAGATCTGGGTGAAAAAACCATCGCTGGGAGTCATGATGTGCTGCACGTGTTGTGTATAAATTGTCAAACAAACGTTGGAACTTCTGACTTTGACTTCGGACTGCCGCCCCCCTATCGCCCCCCAAACGCCCTCTTCTTCCTTACCGCCCCCCAAAATCTTTCCATCGCCCCTGGGGGGGGCGATATCGCCCACTTTGGGAACCACTGCTCTAGTCGATACCTCATCAATTTCAGTAAAATTTCACATAATGAATTTTAAACCAATTTGTATACTTTAAAACCAATTTTTACGGAAACCCAATTTTTTTACTCCATACATTCTATTCAGTTAATAGAACTTTTTTTCCATAATGAACGCAATTGTCTTTGCTTTATAAAAAGCGTGAAAAGAGAAAATGTATTTGAAATGTTTTGAGAACTTGATCGATCTAACAGCGCTTATTTATTCCAGATTGAGCAAGATGGACGCTCTGCGTACTGAAGTTCAGATCATGAGGATCCCGCGACCCAAGTTTTACTGCTCAAAAGGACAACTTCGAGTCCCTGCCGACTATCCATCCGGCTACCAAAAGTCTAATGGCAAGCTTTACGATGGCAATCGTGGACAGAAGGAATATGGTTCTGGGCTGCGTTTCTATAGCAACGGAAATACCGCGCTAACGTCACCGTGTGATGAAAGTGATTATCCTGCAGAGCCACCCAAAGATTATTACGATGATGAATTGGATGTCACAGCCTTGTCATTAGAAGATAAAACTAAAAGTGACTGTCCCTCAAATTTGAGTAAAAAAATTTGTAATGTCAAATCTGATGAAATTGTGGCTGGTAAGGTTATAGGGACTACTGTCGCAAAAACAGAAATACCCGAAGTGAAAAATACTGAAATTTCTCCTAAAACAACTGGACCGGGGAGTGCAGAAGCCGTGAAAAGCGATTAAAAATTCAGTGCAGAACTCTCGTATTAAAGTCGATGCTTGGCATCAATAACTGATTTCCACCGCGTTATCGAACAATTAGAATTCCAGGAAACGATAAGTGTAATAAATTGCAAGCCTAAAATTGGTTTGTACTCGAGAAATGATGCTATTGATGAAGATGGTCACTCCTACCTCATAACACTTGTGAATTCTAGAACTTTATTTTCAAAGCTGTGTCAAACCATAATTTGTTATTCGAATGTATTAGTTTTCATTCGTTTCGAAAAATTCTGCGATAGTTATTGTTGGAAGCAATTTAAATTTTTTTATTGTAATGATTTTTAATGAATTTACATTTTTTCAACACGAGGAATCCAACTATAATGTGAATGAAATATGAGACATTCATAATACATATAATGAAATGAAGCCAATATAGTTATATCAGCAGCTCTCAAACGATTAATCAACAAGTTTTGTACTAGGTGATGTTCGCTTCGCTTTAATAGAAGATCATAGTCTAATTCTCACTTTACGTAACTTTTACTTTAGACAATATGTACATGTTTCGGCTATAAATTTGTCATTATTGATAATGATGTTTTCTGTAGATGTTAATGTTTCTCCCAAAAGCAACAAAAATAGCTATTTAAAAAAAGTAGGTAGTGTTCGTTCAGAAATACACAAACAATGATTATTATTGTATGGATCGATGATGCTTGAGACTTTGAGTGTTTAGTGCATTTTATCTTAACTATCAGCATTTCTTCCTCGTCAAAGTCGCGCTGAACATCGAGATAATATCTGAAGTATACGAATTCATTAACGATCTATTCAAACTTATCTATTTGATAGATGAACGATTTTAAATTAGTATTGATTGTTTGCGCATTTCTTGTATACCTAGGTAATTCTTAGAATGATTTAATAATATTTTGTTCCAAGTGTAATTTTCACTTACAATTTTTCGACGGCGGATCATATCGATCGCACTGCTGACAAAGATGGTGATTTACCAATATTATTGTGCATCACATGGAGTGCAGATTAACGCGTAATATTCCAAACTACCTTGATGTCAGAATATCTTTCATGTCTTACCATTAGCAGTCAAAGAAATACGTGCATAATTTCCCACGAGTGGATTGTGAGAATGAATGTCGCAGAAACTCGAAAAAATCTACCGCATGCATCCGTTTTTCTCCCTAATAGATACTTGAATTTATGAAACACGTGGTTATTATTTCAAAGATATGTAAATGAAATTTTCTGCATTTGCGGAAGTGGTTGCCAAATTGAGAATAAATGGCCTCCAGTGAGTAACTTACACCTTTCTCTTAAGTAATGGACGGATGACAAAAAATGCCGATTTATATCACTGTTGACAACATTTGTGACCACGGTATGATGCTTATAGTGATGATACGTTTCAAACCGTTAAGAGTAATGAAGTGAAATGGTTAAGAAACGACTGACATAAGGGACTGAAATGAGCAAATACTCATTTTCCTTATTGATTGGTAACTTAAAATCGATTTGACTCACCGATCTTCGAGTCCTGGTAAGAGAGGAGCAGCGGCAAGGGTTGACGCTGCTCAGCTCCTTACAGGAGAAGCTCTGGGTTCTGCTTCTACCCTCGTGACCGACCTCAGTTTCTGCTGCCCGTGGGTCGAGTCGATCAGCTTCAGTTTCATCCAGCAGCAACTGACTCTCCGAGAAATCACTTTTCTCGGTCCTCAGTCGGTGCAGCTCATCTGCCTTCCTGATATCTTCCTCCAATCTTCGTATCTTTTGATCTATCACGCGATCTTTGTCTATTCTCCGCCTGTATTCATCCTCGTAGCTTTGCGTGTGCTTGTCTATAATTCTGCCTATGTCGGTGTCAGCAATGGCTCCTCTAAGATTACCAAGACCAAATTTCTGTCCCATTATACGTCTGATCATCCTGGGTGCGTCTTGTCTATAGTAACCTCTTCTCAGAAGCTCTTCTGTGCTTGAATAACAACAGTCATCAATACTAAACCACTTTTCGGCTGTATCGCCTAAATCACCTTCATAATCTTCACCTTCCGATGAACGATTGACGGCTTCTTCTTCTTCTTCTTCTTTAGCTAGGTTTTCTAAGTAATACAGAGATAATAAGTCTTCGTCAATTTCTTCCTTACTAACGCTGCTCAGCAATTGTTCACAAGATAAATATTCTCCTAACCCCGTCCTGGGAAATAGCCTGCTGATTGATCTCGACATGTGACTTCTAGGTTGGAATTTATACCCACGGTGGCTGCCTAATAACTTGTTGTCTAGTCTCAGATCTTGAAGTGATTGATTCAGGCTGAGTGTGGAATAGTGTGGGATGAAAGTCTGACGATCTTTCACGGACGTTGACCCGAGATCGATCGAAGTGCGTAATCGGTTTAGAGCTGCTCTGAAATCCTCGTGTCGGGGATCCAGATCTCCGTGTTTGGTCAAAAGAGTGGTGTCCGAGTGGTCCTCGTTGAAGAGGAAATTCTGGTTGTCTGCTCGAATGAAATGAGTTACATTGAGAGGCGCGGACTGAAGGGAGAGATCGCGAAAAATATTGCGATGAGAATCTGTTGACGCTTTCTGCAGGAATCGAGCGATTGCCTCTCTGCTGGGGAGGTGATGAGGATATGAAGATTGGTGAAGGTGAAGATGCGGATCGCTGGGGAAAGTCTTGGTTGTAGTTATCATATCGACGCTGCTCGTGGCCAAGCTGTTGCTCGGGTACCGGTCGAGGCTGTGAAGACTTTGATCTCGTGTGTTTTGCGGGAACAGAGGTATTCGTTCTTGGTCGAGGCTGCGATCGCGATCTTTTCGAGGGATAGATCGGCCACGTTGAATCGAAAGTTCTCGGTCTTGTGTCTTCGGGACTGAATTCTGCACTAGGCGACTGAAATTCTTCGGGTGAAGATCTGAAGCCTGGCGGAGGTGGTATTGTGTCTGGGTACTGAACTGTGTTGACTCGGTGGTCGTCTGGGAGAAATTCTGCGTCGGGGACAGAATATCTTTCACATGCGAGATGAGAGCTTGATTTGAATTTGCGAGGAAGTGAGCGGAAGGCGACTTCATCTCCGTCATTTCGATATCTTTGACTGCGCCGTCCGTCCTGTGCTCTCTCTTCTCTTGCACAGACGGGATAAGGTAAGCTGTTGAACTGATGGGGGTGTTGCTGGTGCCCATGGCCGCCTTCAGCTGACTTGTAATGGTCGACGTAGTGGTCGTCGCATTCATTCCTGAACTGGCCAGGATACCTCGAGTATCCTGATGATGGGTCGATGTCTTGAACTGTCTCTCGTACGTCGAAGTTTCTTGTTTCTCTTGAATATTCTTCCTCTCGTCGAAAGGACTCTTCAGGAAATGTGAGAGATGAACATCGCGTTCTTCTAGGGGGCGAACATTTAACTTCGAATCGCATTGGCGACCAGAGGTCATACGACAACTTTGCTGGAGACCCTCCGCATCCCTGACGGCGATCACGTCTCGGTTTGTACACAAGCCCGAGGTCCTCGTTTTCGTAACCTCGGCATCTTTGCTCATCGCGTCCCTCTCGATAACCGACAGCTCCCTCACGCAACCCTCTATCCTCGGGTCTTCCAGCAAATGCTCGGCCTGAGTATCCACCGCAGCACCAAGAATTTTGCGGCTGTACCTCATAGGACTGCCAGAGCGACCTTCGGTCCTCGAGTATTGAGGTTCCTTCGTCTCGGCATCGAGGCCATCGTCCTCCTGATCCTCGTCTTCTCCTTTCTTTCGCCTCCTCCTCCGACCATTCCGTCTGGTCACACTCGATGGGCGAGGACACTGAAAGAAAAAGTAAATCTACTAATCTGCATGACTGAATCTGGACAAATGATTTTTTTTTTCAGCTAAAGGATATAAACTTGAAGTTCATGTTAGCCTAACATGACCATTTGACCTAGCCTATTTACATTATTAAGGCACAAATAAAATTTGCTTGAAATTATTTTAGACTTACGTTGCAGCTTTTCAAGTGGTATTGAATTTCTAAATTCAGAGAATTTCAATTCTTAAAGTAAAAAAAAAAATAAAATACAACCTCAAGCGCCATTTCGAGAGACGAAGTCGTCAGAATATCCAACCCACAAGGGGAATGCGATACGGGCTCGAACGTGAAAACTTGTAACGAGAACTCGTGAAAACTTGTAAGAGTCCTCAAAACTTGTCGAGTCCTAAAAGTTTCAACTTTTTAAAAAATTTTAATACGATTCAGGGCCAACGTAATTAAAGCCTCTCTAAACCTGCTATCATCATTGAGTTGTCTGATATCAAAATATTAGATTGAATAAAAGCGAATATTCGATTGATGAAAATTTTTCGCCACCTTGCAAGCACCCTAACATTGCCCAGTTACGAGAAACATGCGTTGAGGTTACCTAGTAGGAGAATGGGTCAGAATTCTACCTGATGGTAGTAATATTATAAAGGAATTCTGTGAGTGAGCGGTTCAGATTTTTTAAATGTGGTCGTCGTGGCGAGTGAAACAAAGTGCTTAAGAGTGTAAGTCATCAATCAACGAAGTGCTCTGTAGTGCGGAAATTAAAAGAAACTTTTCAAGTGGCAGTTGGGTGATCGGTTTATTCGAGACACTAATCATAATTACTAATCTACGCAAGTGATAGCAGTACAGATTTATTGTTCATCTATATTCACGGACAATACTAGTCTCAAGCTTTGAGTTACAGCATAAATAGTATATAGAATTGCTCTAGTAAATATTAAGCAACTATTATGCAGATGCGAAGGCTGCTACAATAGATACAATGTATGTACTATCTTAAAACACATTACTCAAGTGGCAGTGGTTGACACCCAACTTTCCAGTCCGTCTACAGTTACGGTATTCATTTTTATAAATAAACATAATATGACGCCAATTCACTGAAAGATTTTTCCTATGACGAAACTGTTAGACACCAATCATTAGAGTCAACTGTATTTTTATCTGACTTTGATAAAATTTAAACGTTAATATTTCAGTTTTCATATCTAGTCAAACATCAACATAGAGAATGAAAACAACTAGCTTTTGCCAACAAAACCATCTCCTTTACCGTAGCATTTAGGCGCTATGTAGAGCTGCCTTAGAAAGCAAGATATTATTGTTCCAGTATCTATCGAAAATATATATCATACTAAAATATTGAGAACAAGATACATGATTATACTAATTTGAAGTTCCTTGTAAAGCATAATGTGTTACGCTGGATTCGGAAATTTGCATAAAATGTTGACGAATTGATGATCATCGTTGGGAACATCGATATAAAAAATTATGAAAGTCCTTGGTCCGAAACTTACGGATTGGTCGGGACTTCAATTTGACATTTGATTGCAGGCTAAATATTAATAATAGTACGCAATTGAAACATAAGAAGCGTTGAAAATTTCTTAATTTCGTTAACACTGGCCCGTAAAGGGATCCAACGATCGTGCAAAAAGTTAACAACAAATATAAATTGACTAAAATCATGACCAATCAGAAGCGCCTAAATGCTAAACGAATTTTTCAGCAATTAATATTTTTCAAATAACGCAGATCCAATTATCTCAAGCTAGCAAACACAACGCAGAAATCATCACGTTAAACTGTCGCAGAGTTCCGACAAAATTCTCAATCAAAAACACAGGTAGATTCAATTCATCCATTAAAATTGCTATGAAACTTGACATGGCAAACAAAAATTAACTTATTCGTAACTTTGACAAGCAATACAGGAAAGAAGGAGAATCGCTTAAAATTAGTTCGTGCTTAAAATACTCGAAAGATTTCGTCGGAAATTCGTTCTACATTAATTTCACATTCTGGACAGCCCAATCATGACGAGAGGCACAAACACAAACGGGGGAAAATTAATTTATTACTTCACTCCGCTGCTGAAGTGAATTTCAGAAATTAATACTAAAATTATATGTTATTTGGTGTCGTTCAACTTCCAGCCGACCATGGAAAGTGGTTGTCTAACATGCCAATAAATTCCTACGCTTACAGTACATGTATCTAATTGTAACGCAATAATTCATCAACTATATTTAATTTTACTATGATAGAACATTTTCACAGGACAATAAATTTGTGCGATAAACGCTTCTATCATTACTGGCGAAATTCCATCAAGCTGTCAAGTTGTACATTCAAAAGTTTCTACATCAGAGAAAAAAACTTAAACTGAACGATAAGATTAAAGCATAAACAATTGCAAGCTTAAGAGCACCAGTTCAAAAAGTTAATACCTAAAGTTTATCACTGCAAACAAATTTTATCCAAGTTCATGTTTGAACTGGATAACTCAGACTTCTTCACTTAATTAGAAAGTATTCACTTAAATTACGGTAGAAAAATTTTGTTTTGTCAGAATAAAAAAAGGGATCTTATACCACAAAATTATTCATTGTCAGATCAAAGACTATAAGTATGTACTTAAATTGAATTGTATAATGCTTGAAATCACAATAATGACAAATCTACAAACATGAACGCAATCTGCCAAAACTTCATTTAAAAAACATTTAAAGGAATCCCATTGCTCATTCAAATGGCGGACCAAATGTAAAATGCGATCTGCAAGAGGCTGCGGCTCGCCTGGCGGCCATCAAAACGATTGATGAGAATTTTCAACCCAAGTGCCGTAAAAACTAAAACAAATCCTGTTGGATTTGAAAAATGAAATTGATAAATAATCACTTCAATTCTAGACGGGTATTCTTTCATATTTAGAGATAAACATCTTCAAGTTTACCGTGCATCGTATCCTGATGTTTGCAATCGACTAAGTACATCCGCAACAATTCCTGACACCCGAAAAAAACTATGGAAATTACGCACAAAGTAAGCCGAAGCACAGCCGAAAGCACCAATCCATAGTAAATAGTGAAGAGATTATGCGGTCGAAGCTACAAGCAAATTCCTTAACTCTAAAATGAAAGTTACACATCTACCAAATTTACACACTAAATTCAAACTCGTCCATCTTGCCTAATTATAGCGCAATGGTATTTTCCTATATATTAACCAACTCAATGTCATTTATTGGTATCAGAAGTTCATTTTATTTAAAAATGTCGCTTTGCTCTAGACCATTTCATGTGAGTATTGAATAAGCCATGCTTAATTGAGCTGATGTACAAGCGATCAGCACCAAAATCACAACAGTTGAGATATCAAATGAAATCACAACCTCAAGAATTGCATCAACTCAGCAAGGCGACACAAAATAAACGGAAACGATCACCGCTCGCTGCATAATGGATGGTCCCTTGAAGTCGGGTTTATTCTTTAGTTGGAACAGTATGTTGCTACGGCAGTGATGAAAAAAGTTCGTAAAAGGTTTTTTACAAAATGAAATTAATAAGTCATACATCCCACTACTAGAAATTCAAATATTTTCACTATATTGTAACAGGGAAGTCATTTTTCCTATTAAAACCACAAACGAGGCTCCGGTTGCTCATGAGAACCTATGGATTCTACAACCCTCTTTCTAACAGATGCAAGAAATTGAACGAAACCGCCTAAACCCATGGATTTTGACTGCTAAAAATGTAGTCTGCACCGCAGAAATAAATTCCAATAAAGTTGTCGCTTGTCAGTTGTCACTGAACTTGAGTAGTAGAGGAATTCAATCTACTAATAAATGAACAGCTGTTGACAGCTACCGAGTCATGCGTAAGGTTTGTATAGCAAGTGATGCAACAACAGAATAAAACTTCGGGCGAACGAATCTTCTGATTAAGAGCCCTCCTCAAACAGTCGCTTATTATTCGCGATAGTGGCAAAAATGTGATAAATGTGTATTTTCGCGCTAGAGGATCGCACGGTTGGAAACAAGAGCACAAGGGGGTTTTCATTCACAATCGAAGTTATTTCAGCATTATTATAAATGGCATGATAAATGCGAACCAAAAATTCGTACTCATTTGTCATCAGGCGTTGATACAATGTTGATTAAACGTGTTTCAATTAAATGAACTCATAATTAACGTAGCTTTACAGTCATTTGACTGTTATACATAATTCCATATTTACCGATCTTTTTCTAGAGTCTCTGATACCATGGGACATAACATCGAATGCTCCACGAGTCCATGTTGTAAAGCTGAAACTCAAACATTGAAAAAATCTTTTCATTCTTAGCTCGTATATATAATTTCTCTATAAACTAGAAAACCTGCGCAAAGACTCTCAATAATTTATCCGATATGTCATATATAAAGAGCTCATAAAGATACCTATGGTAACATAATATCATCATTAACTCATGATAGAATCAATACCTTCGCTCATCAACAAACTACTCTATTTCGCAAGCGATCTGTGTGACTACGATTAATTTACAATAGTTTTTTCAGCAATTACATATTCTACGACAAGCCGCTCCCTAGCACTGCATCGACTACTGGCCAAGAACGGGGTCGCCCAAAGGACTGTCACTTGAGTCCATCAATAAACAATTCTACGTCTTCAAGAAAACTGCTGTGCTTTTGTGCTCGGGTATTTGCTCATTTGGAGCTCAGCCATTACAGCTCAACAAGATACTCGACTTTTATTCAGTCAAATTTACTAAAATATTCGATAAGAAATTGCATTGGAATTTAGTTTAATCAACGTCACTCAAAAGGTTCCCTCGAGAGTGTGAACGGCTAACAATATAGTATAACGAAATCATATGCATATATGCATTAGGTGGAATACCATCAATTCGACGCATTGTTATAGCAAAATCTCAAGTGGCTAGATTAAACTTGAGGTAAATCCCAAAAATTGTTGCATGGAATGAGGTTCAAATTTAGAAAATATTATTCATTGGTCTACAATAAAATAGTGCACTCGGTACGTATATATAGGCAATGATTCAAGATATATCTGGATGAACCTTTCAACGTAAAACAATATGCGCTCTGCAGCAGCATAAGCGTTTCTAACAAGAAAGTAAAATAATACATGTTGCATCGATTAAAGCCAAGTTTTTTATCTCATAGGAGTCTTACTAATGCTGAATATTGAACCACATATGACATGAGGCTCCAAGGACCAATCGTATTCGAGTCAGCGTGGAGTTGCCTTCATTCGAATCTATTTTTAATATAGGAACAACATCAATTTCCAGTTAACAACTCGTTCACTGCAATAAATTTGCACGAAAACTTTGATATTCGAACTGTCACACAACCACAACAAATGGGAGAAATATATTAAACTCCCTGCATAAGTTGCAGAGGCAAATTCTAAAAATCATTTTCAAATCTAATGCCACAATTTGCTCCCTAAATGACAGCCATTTCCAAAAAGCTTAATAAACCTATTATAATAACGCGCAAAAAATACATTCGACACAAATTCCTTGTCAAAAATAACAAAAATATTGCAGCCTTCATGAAGAGCAAGATGCAAGAAATACTGAGTACACTTTTCTTAACAAATCGAATGTCAGTAAAATACGCTGAACAAGTAATTACTATACGATCGTGCAGTGAAAGCAAGATTAATATTTTTAACAAACTGCAAGCAGGAGATCGACAAGTGCAGCAGTGTAAATGTGGAGGCAGAAAAAAACAGAAGGCAAGCAACTAGATGAGTAATGAGTGAAGAAGACACGTGATGCAAGTGTTTTGTTTTTGGTCATTACGCTGCAATTTACTCCTCCTTACTTAGCAGAGGATTATCATGGGGAAAAGCTCTTGTTGGAAGACTGACTGCATCCCGATGCGCAGCTAACGAAGCATGTAGCGGAGGAAGTGGGGGAGATGAAGTGCGATGAAGGTGATGAGATTCCTCGAGATGATGTCTGGGGTGCTCGTAAGAGTGACTACGCATGTACATCTCTTGACGTTCCAACTGCAGGTCGCTGAGCTCGTCCCGCATCAGCGGATGCCTAAG